AAAAAAAAAAAAAGAAAGAAAGAAAGAAAGAAAGAAAAAAGAAATTGTACCAATCCCAAAAGCCAGAGTTAAGAAAAAAAAAAAAATTGGCAGCTTAAAGTACTTGCTTCCATTCCCTCCGCCGTCCCTGTACAGGTTAAGTGTCCAAGGGAGCTGAAGAATGACAGAATTGCTGTTTAGTGCACAGGCAAGACTCTGCTCGAAGGTCGCACATTTTGAATTGGATATTCTTCCCCCTGACAACCCACCCCACCCCATTTTCAAGAACCCTTTCAGATAATATTCTCCAATTACTCATTTTCTCGTCGCTGGAAGCCCCGCCCTTAGCATTCAGTCTTTGGAATGCTACCCTTGGGAAGATCACTGAGACGGAGCTGTATTGCCCTAGCAACCACGGAGTGCGCCTGCGCAGTGGCGTCCCCAAGCCGACAGCTCTAATTAGGCGTCTGCGTCTCAATCGGCCAGACTTTGGGTACAAAAGGGCATATCTTCCTTCTCCCTGCCCGCTCCCTCAGCAAAATGATTGTGCCGTTCTCTTCCTGAGGCTGATTAAAATGTGAGGAACGTCTTCCAACTCCCATCTGGTAGGAAGTAGCAGATGGGAGTAGCTCCCGGTGATTAAATGGATGAAAAAGGCAGAAAGCTTGTGTGTGCCAGGAAATGAAGAATTATAGATCCTACACTACTGGTAGGAAGCAGCTCTCCCTCTGTAATAAGCGATTTTCCATATGACATTCATCTGTATAAGAGGGCTCCCTCTCAGAAATTGTTACCTGCTGGCTCTCTAGGAAAGGCTTGTGGAGAGCTATTAGCCAGGTTAGAAGCTATAAGGGGGATTAGGATGAAGAGAGCAAAATGTGAACACTCACCTTAACAACCTGGGTGCTGAAAAAAACCGCATTGGCAGAGGATCCCCTGCAAAGTTCCTCCAGGTAGATTTTTCAGTCTGATTCAAGGTGCAAGACCACTGTTGGCTCTCAAGAGTCACTGTGAGGATATGGACTCTTGTTACCTCTACCACAAACTTATTTCTCCCACTCCTCCCTTAAACCCAACATTGTCTTTCTGAGCTACTTTCAAATTCTTCAGAGGTGCTTTACATGCTGGCTCTGTCTTCACTAGCAGTCCTTCCCTTCCTCTCCCCAACCTCAGGTCTCATAACAGATGTCACTAAAGCACATCTTATCTGCAGTCCTCCATACCACTTAATCCTGACTACTTTCTCACTCATCCAGGCTTGACACCTCTGCACCTTCCCCAGCTTTTCTTGGACCCCATCACCTTCCCACCATCCTTCCCAGCATTTAAAGTTGGGAGCTATTCCTATGGACTCTCATAGAACTCTGAGCCTATGCCTATTATACCATTTGCTATAGCATAATATAATTACTGGTTTGCTTTCATGAGCCCTCCCTATTAAGCCCTGGAGCCCAGATGGTCTTCTTCACCCTTATATTCCCAGCACATAACACTGTTCTCAAAGCATGGCAGGTGCTTTAAAAATGCTTATAGAATAAACAAATGAATAAGCATGGTGTCTAATTTATTATGCTTTTATTGCAAACACAGGTAAATGGCAGTCATATATACATATATATACACACATATATATACTGTTGTATATATGTATACAATGGTAGACACAAAGGAAGAGCAATCACAAATCAGTGGTTTTGTGTTTGTTTTGTTATGTGTGTGTTATTGTGATTTAACTCCTGTACCAAATCATTTTACTGATTATTTCAAAGATGTAAATATTCCCAATACATTTTACAGAGCTATCTGAACTTTTATACTGAAACAAGACAGGGATGGCAAATGAAAAATTCAATTCATAAATATTGATCATTAACCTAATCCAAGGATATATTAAAAGGAAGCAAATACTATTAAAATTGGAACACAGACAGCAAGCACAATGTGTACTTCCCACCCAAACCCTCCCCAACTTCTAATTTAGAGCCCCTATGCCCATTTCCCCAAGGCATCTTTAACTGATGCCACTCAACTGAAGTGATATATATTCCCCAGACTTCACATGGGGCCAAGGAAGAACATGGTATTTGCCTCAGATTTGGCTCTGGCCTCCTCATCTTCCACAGCTTCCCTATATTGCTCTGGCCAGTCCTGTGGTCGCTTTCTGTAGAGCCTGGCCATGTACTCCAAGACTTTCATTTTGGTGGTTTCAAGGTGAGCTCGAGGACCCCATAGAAGCTCATATTCAACTGGGTTAGAGTAGGACAGTGGTCTGCATTCCAGGTAGTGCTGTCTCATAAGCTTACAGGTGATGGCATGCTTTCTCCCTACATCCACATTAAATCTTCGAAGCATGTTCCAGACATTGCCCTCTTTGACACGGTTGCCCATCAGGAATATCAAACCTAAGATTGGCATTACATATTCTTGAGTGGGTCTCCCCAGGCTCTCTAGCATCACTTGCTCTTCTTCTGATTCTGGTTGCTGGACAAGGAGGTAGATGTGCTCACTGGTATCAGCCTCAATCAGAGACAACCCGTAGAACATATCAAGAATTAGAGTAGCTCTATTGAGGATATTTGGGAACACATCCTCAAATTCTTTGCCAGTGTGAGCCAATAGCTCATCCTGATGTATAGGCAGCAACTCCTCAGTGACTCTAATAGCCAACTGGACTAAATCATTTGCCTTATCATTCATAGTGTCCTCTGACCAGAACTCTAAGCCAGCAGTCAGGCTTCTTTCTTTGGTTTTGTCAGCTTCCAGGGCCTTATTATATTGTTCTGGCCAACTCCAGGGTTCTTCATCATGGGCGTCTGACACAAACTTCAGGGCTTCCATCTTTGTGATTTCCCTGTGAGCTCTAGAGCCCCACAAGAACTCAAATTCAAGGGGATTAGTGCCATACACTGGCCAGTACTCCAAGAATCTCATGCACACAAAGTCAATAGTGAGGAGGTTCCTTGTGTTCCCAAAGAGGTTGTTGTTCCTCTGAGGCTCATCCCACATGCCAACTTTTATCAGCAGATCCCAAATGGAATCTTCTCTTGCTCGGTTCCCATTCAAGAGAATGTGGCCTAGGACTAGGGCCAGAAGACCTGCTTTTGGCATGTCCAGAGACCCTGCTATCCTGTCAGTGATCAGGGAACCTCGTTTGCTGACTAAATTGTAGATGTCAGCCTGGGGATCAATAATTCTCAGGTTCAACCCAAAGACCCGGTCCAGGTGAGCTGAAGCTCGTCTGAGGATCTCAGGGAACTGATCTGAGTCTTCTCTGAGAAACTCCAGCATCTCGGACTGCTGGATAGACCCCTCAGTCTGGCTTTTCATTCTCATGAAATTTACCAAAGCAACCGATCTGTCTTCTAGAGGGTCATAGACCCTGAGCGCCCCCAAACGTCTGGACTGCTCGTCGATCAGGACCTCCAGGTCATTCGGGTCCTGAACGGCCTGGGAAGTGTTGACACACTGAGGGTTGATTGGCGCCTGAGGGCACTGGGGGGCATCCGCGACTAGCAAGGAGGTGGGGGACCCGGAGGCGTTAGTAGCTTGTATTTCACCCCGGCCGTCGCCGTAATCTGCAGTGATCTCCGCGCTACAGTGGCGTGCATTCTGGCTTACCAGAGACATGGTTCCAGGAGACAGGAGCGGGAACAGTGAGATCAGCGATCAGTCAGAGAAAGGACCGTAGGAGCTTTGGTGCCTCGGCACAAAGCTGAAGCCCGAGACGCTGGAGCTGGAAGGATCAAAAGTGAGATCTGGTGTGAAAAGCGATCTTTCTACACAAGCGCTGGCCAGCAAAGACTGCAAGCCTTAGAGCGGTTAGTTTTGCCGCAGCCTACGCAGGCTCAGTCAGGCTTTGCACCGTGGTGGCCACGCCCCACTCCCTGTCTTCCACCCCTTGTCTCTCATTCCCGCCCCCTCACCTCTGAAGGGCAGGCTAAACTGGTTGAAATGGTTGCTAGTGAAGTCGAACTTGTTAGAAAAGAGACTTCAAGAAAGGGGGTAACAGATATAGATAGCTAAAGCGTCAAGGGATGAGGAGCGTTCGGTGATGTTCTCTCCACTTGAAATTTTTCTGTGGGGCATAAAGCACCATTCTAACGCGGTAGAGGATTCAGAGAGGAGAAAGAGGAGGAGCAGGAGGTGGAAGTAGGGAGGAGGAGGATGCTAACGATGAGAATTATTTTACAGATTCGTTAAAACATTCACTCACTCAACAGGCATTTACTGACCACATGCCACATGCCAGGCACAGTGCTGTACATCAGAATACAAACATAGTGATTGTCCCTTTTTGTGTGGAACTTACATTCTGGGGTAGGTTCAAACAATGTTAAAAATAATGAGAGCTAACACTTCTGAAGCACTATGTGCAGGCACTGCTTCTAGAGCATTCACTTTTTTCATACTAGTTCATATAATGCTAGCTATTAGGTAGCTACTCTTAATGATCCTCATTTTACAGATAAGGAAACTGGGTCAGGGAGGTTAATTTATCTTTCCAAAGTTAAGCAGCAATAAACAAAAGAGATCACTCAGGTCTATCAGTCTCAAGCATATGTATTTTCTCTCACACCGTCTTATCTTTAACCTTATTTATTAAACACGACTCATAAAATAGATGAAAATAGGTGCTCTGATGGTCAATTAACATGTGATACAAACACAGAAGTAAGCAATGAATTGCAGCTTAGTCTGGGGTATGTTGGGTTGCAGGCAGTTTCCAAGAAAGCCTCAAGAAGGAGTTGAGCTCTAAGTGATGAATAAATGGGAAGGGTTTACAGTAGTATTCTAACCTGAAGTAACAGCAACAGGAAAGGTCTAGAGGAGTGTAGGTAAAAGTTTGTGTAATAGCCACTCACCCAGGGTGACTAGAGCCAGAGTGTACTAGCATGTGGGGGAGATGAGGGTGAAGGTGGCTAGACAGTAAGGATTGGATTTTCTATTCTTCATTTAGTGTGCCAAAGCTTGTTGAGGCCCACAGGGCAGGAATGGCAGCACCAGAATAGAAGCTATTTATTCAGAGGGTTTATGTATATGTGTATGTGCAAGCACATATGTGTGTTTGAGGACGCATAATCCAAACACTTTGGCCAGGAAGAGGGAAGTCAGATCCTCTATTTTCTGAGAGTACTACTAAAATAGTTGGGCTAAAGCATAGCTGTAGTCCTAGACTTCAATCATCAAGTTGAAGACTATGACGGTTGCACTTTTAGGTGGAGCATTGGAAAGAGAAAAGATTTATATAGGGTTGCCATCTGCAGTCACAATTGAAATTCTTCCTTAAATTCTTGATAGTAATGAATACTGCTACATTTTATGTAACATTACATTCAGTAATCTTACTCCCTGGAATTCCTTCAGAGGCCAGTGTCTTCTCTTCACATGTGGAGGTCGCTCATCTCTGACATTATCTTCATCCCAGGTGCTTTCGTCAGTACCAAAATAGGTAGCTCAGGGTCATGAATTTGGTCAAACTAGGCTAAAGAGATCAGTGTTTACAAAAATGAATGTGCATGTTCTACAAGGTAGAAATGTTTGGTTTGTATGCTGATCCATTTTTGGGAGAACATTGTAGAAACCAGCACCATCTTCCAAGCTGCTACAAAGGTATGATTAAGGTCAGATCTGATGGGGTCCATCACCCTGGTCTTTACCCTTCCCCAGAAAGGCTCCTGTTCCTTGTCTTAGATAAGTGCTTCCCGGGGCAAATTCAGATAGGATCTTTAAGCTCACCAGTTATAAACAAAAACAACTCAAAACAAACAAATTGGTATATTTTCCCTTGAAATGTAGCTCAGTTTGTCTTGAGTTGAACCTCCTACTACTCCCCCCATGTAATAAAGTAAAGCAACACTAAATGGCAGTGTCTTATCTCTGAAATGACATCCTGATCCCATTCCACAACATTGAAACCCTTAATAAGTTGGTCCCTACTTGACTCTCTATCTTCACCTTTATTTTCCAGCACATCCTTCCATGATATCCTCTTCCTGGCCATATTGACCTATACTTCTTGTCTTAGCTAATTCTATTCTACAAGGTTCTAAAAAATTCTACTTATTGTTAAAAGAATAAAAAAAATCTGTATCTGTAACTGTGACATATGGCATGTTTTCCACTCTTCAAATATAATGTAAAAAAGATGGGATCGTGGTCTCCATTCTGAATTGTTTTTGATGCTTCAGGACCTACTTTTTATACTTTTCAAATATATATATATTTGTGTATATATATATATATATATATATATATAGACAATTGTTTCCTGAATAATTTTAACAAAGTGTTTTTTACTTTAATACTGAAATATGGCATACACAAAGTAAACACATCATGAATGTAGAACCTGATAATTATGACAAATTTAACATACCATCTGACCGTGATGCCACTTAAGAAATAGACCATTACCAGCATTTCAGAAGCTCCCATGACATTTCTTCACAATCTCTTCCCTCTCATTTTTCCTGAGAGAAAACCCCTGTTTAGACTTCTGACATCACAGTTTTGCCTCCACCTAAACTTTAACTAATATTAGTAGAAATATACATCATATGTTTATTTATAGTTCTCTTTTTCCAGTAAAATTTTACACTGTGTTATTTATCCATTTGGTGTATAACAGTAGTTAGTTCATTATCATTACTGTATAGTTTGCCACCATATAAATATGTACCACAACCTGTCCTGTCAACTATTGTTGGGCATTTGCCTTGTTTTCCATTTGTGACTATTACAAATAATGCTGCTGTAAACTTTTTGCACTTTTATTTTAGCTTATGTGAATATTTATGTTGAAAATAAGTCTATGAGTAAAATTACTAGGTTATAAGTATGTATATTTTTAGTTTTCATATATATTACCAGAGAGTTTTTAAAAATTCTTGCATCAATTTATGCTCCCTGTAGAGTATAAGAATTTCTTTTTTAAAATTTATTTTATTTTACTTTAAGTTCTGGGGTACATGTGCAGATCTTGCAGGATTGTTGCACAGGTACACACTGGCCATGGTTGTTCACTGCCTTCATCCCCCGTCACTTACATCAGGCATTTCTCCCAATGTATCCCTCCCTAACCTCCCCACACTCCACTATCCCTCCCCAGCCCCCCAACCCCCAACAGATCCCACTGTGTGACGTTCCCCTCCCTGTGCCCATGTGTTCTTATTGTTCAACTCCCACCTATGAGTGAGAACATGCAGTGTTTGGTTTTCTGTTCTTGTTTCAGTTTGCTGAGAATGATGGTTTCCAGATTCATCCATATCCCTACCAAGGACATGATCTCATATTTTTATGGCTGCATAGTATTCCATGGTGTATATGTGCCACATTTTCTTTATCCAGTCTATCATTGATGGGCATTTGGGTTGGTTCCAGGTGTTTGCTATTGTAAACAGTGCCTCAATGAACATATGTGTGCATGTGTCCTTAGAACGATTTATAATTCATTGGGTTTATACCCAGTAATGGGATTATGGGGTCAAATAGAATTTCTATTTCTAGATCCTTGAGGAAACGCCACACTATCTTCCACAATGGTTGAACTAATTTACACTCCCATCAACTGTGTAAAAGTGTTCCTATTTCCCCACATCTTCTCCAGCATCTGTTGTCTCCAGATATTTTAATGATCTCCATTCTAACAGGCATGAGATGTTACCTCAATGTTGTTTTGATTTTCATTTCTCTAGTGACCAGGGATGTTGAGCATTTTTTCATATATTTGTTGGCTGCATAAACATCTTCTCTTGAAAAGTGTTTGTTCATATCTTTTGCCCACTTTTGAGTGGGTTTGTTTTTTCTTGTAAATCTTCTTTACTTCTTTGTACATTCTGGATACTAGCCTTTTGTCAGATGGGTAGACTGCAAAAATTTTTTTCCCATTCTATTGGTTGCCAGTTCACTCTGATGATTGTTTCTTTTGCTGTGCAGAAACGGTTAAGCTTAAGTAGATCCCATTTGTCTATTTTGACTTCTGTTGCCATTGCTTTTGGTTTTTCAGTCATGAAGTCCTTGCCTATGCCTATGTCCTTAATGGTATTGCCTAGGTTTTCCTCTAGGGTTTTTATGGTCGTAGGTCTTATGTTGAAGTTTTTAATCTATCTGGAGTTAATTTTAGTGTAAGGTGTGAGGAAGCAGTTCAGTTTTAGCTTTCTACACATGGCTAGCCAGTTTTCCCAACACCATTTATTAAACAGGGAATGCTTTCCCCATTGCTTGTTTTTGTCAGGTTTGTCAAATATCAGATGGTTGTAGATGTGTGGCATTACTTCCAAGCCCTCTGTTCTGTTCCATTTGTTGCTATCTCTGTTTTGGTACCAGTACCATGCTGTTTTGATTACTGTAGCCTTGTAGTATAGTTTGAAGTCAGGTAGCATGATGCTTCTATCTTTGTTCTTTTTGCTTAGGATTGTCTTGGCTATGCGGACTCTCTTTTGGTTCCATATGAAGTATAAGGTGGTTTTTTCCAGTTCTGTGAAGAAGGTCATTGGTAGCTTGATGGGGATAGCATTGAATCTATACATTACTTTGTGCAGCATGGCCATTTTCACAATATTGATTCTTCCTAACCATGAGCATGGAATGTTTTTCCATCTGTTAGTGTCCGCTCTTATTTTCTTGAGCAGTGGTTTGTAATTCTCCCTGAAGAGGTCCTTCACATCCCTTGTTAGTTGTATTCCTAGGTATTTTATTGTCTTTGTAGCAATTGTGAATGAGTTCACTCATGATTTGGCTGTTTGTTTGCTATTGGTGCATAGGAATGCTTGTGATTTTTGCACATTGATTTTGTATCCTGAGACTTTGCTGAAGTTGCTTATTAGATTAAGGAGAATTGGGGCTGAGACGATGGTGTTTTCT